TCAACCAGTTAGTTTTCTCAGATTAACACAATTCTCACGATTCGTGACACACTTATTTTTCAGTTGGTCTGAAACAAGTCATATTGACCTGCATTACGACATCTAGGGCTCCCTTAATTGAAAGAGTAATGATGCAGATGATCGGCAACAAGGCAAAGACGGCCCACGAAAGAAGAACTGCCATAGAAATGAAAATATATAAGAACGTCAAAGAAATGTTTTCGTATATGAGATGTTCCTATAGGGTTTTACACCACTTGTCAAAAGAGCCGTCCACCACGATGATGAGATACTACGAAACATTTTCTGATTGCTATTGCCATCCAACTTGTCATTTTTCATTTCGTGATGTATTATTATGATAATCGGTAACTTTAAAACAGATTCGTCTCCAAAATGATATTTTGAAGGTGATTTTGGTCATCCGTTAGCTGCGCAACGTCAGCTTCCATCTATGAGTTAAAACAATGTATTGGAATGCAGAGTCAGTAACCCTACCCCCAACGTTAAACAATTTAGTATTTCATGTGAGTGACGGAGGATTTGGTTCAATTTCAAAGGGAAAATTCGTGAAGCGTGAACTGAAAAGACAGGAAGCACTGAACAGCTGTTTCGACCTGGTTGGGTCTGATCGGCATTGCGAATCTATCGACCCAACTGGGGATCGTATCCGGGACCTTGTGTAAATTGAAAATGCTAAAAGGTCTCATCAGCTGCCCGGTGCCTGAGTGGGTAGCATGCTTGCGTTCAGTCCATTAAGTCCTGGGTTGTATCCCCAGTTGGATCGATGGATTCACGCTGTCGATGAGATTCAATCAGGTCGAAACAGCTGTCCAGTGCTTCCGAGCTTTTCAGTTCACGCTTCATTTGCTATATAAACGATGAAATCACCACGCATACTCACCAACAGAGATGAACGATGACAAGTAAATTGTTTGTTTGTTTGATTAATTTATCCAGTGTGACTGTTAGCGTATGTGAATCTTATTTAACTGAAGTGTCAGTTCTCATGCATATATTTGAATGAAGTACACGTATAAACGATTTGACACTGGTTCTTTATTTGATCAACAGGATTTATGCCACTCCAGGTGCCTAGGATGATAACCTTTGCAGAATAATGTAAACGGCCACTTACACCGCTTACAATAGTGCCCCCATACACACCAACGCAAACACAGGCACACACCAACGTAATCTACTTGTGTTCTGTTTTCTTAAATCATGCGATTTTTGTGACTTACACAGTAATTGATGCACCGACGATGAGCTTGTTTGCCGAGTAAACTTTCTGAGACAGCTCATATCGAACACAAGATTTCCAATATGAATGTATTTTCAGACTTTTATTGGATACTGTTTTAACACATTTATACGGTTGCTAGATTGGATGAGTAACGTCAAATTTATTCACTTGTCACTCAACAGTCCAAATCTGAAAGATACTCAACACCTGTTTCATTTTGCTGCAGAGAGACAAAGATAAGTTGTCTATCTGTCTACAGTGGTCGCTGTGGGCTAGGGCGCCATATATTCTGAAGGGAACTGACAAATGCAATTTGAATGTCAACTTGATGGATTCCATGTTTATAAACGTCTAGCCCAGGTGCTCAAAAATGAAGAATGGCGCACAGGATATTGACAAAATGAAATTCAATGCATATGTCATATATATGAGCCATTAAAAATTAAAAATGATTTCTGTTCTGCTGAGGTTCGGTTATCTTACAACTTGTACGCCACCAACCACAGCGCAATCGAGAAATCGCATTTTTATGAGATAAGTATTTGATGAATACCAGCAACGGTATAAATGGATACTCTTACGACTATATTGTCCTGGTTTGAGATAATGCCACACACGTTCCCTTGAGGATGAAGCTGAAAACATCAAGCTCTGAGAGCAATAGATACGACGAAGGTTACGGCACCAAGCAGTTTCGATCAATACGTGTAAAGGCATGTAAAGCTCAATTATTAGTCACATTTCCACCATTCATCGACCCTACTAAAGTTCAGTGTTCAGCGAAAATAATTCATAGAAATAGTGACTAACAATAAATGTTTGCTGAAAAATATGGCAATATTGGGTACTAATTGAAAGAATCAAAGTTCCACTGAGGCGCAATGATTGCTATGCTTACTGGTTCATTACCTGGATTTCCACTGGTATAATTGCGATTGAGACGTTCTTTTTACGCTAGGGGGGGGGATCGAAGAGGTGGAGTCTAAAATGAGTGAAATTTTAAACATACTTTCTGCTCTTTGGAATGTAAGGTTTCTTTCAATCAGGAGGACAGCACAGGCCAAATCAGTTTTACCGTAGCATTTGTCCCCGATTTTCCTAATCGCACCGCGTTCGTTCAGCCTCGTGCAAATGCGTAAGGACTCTAAACTTTCTTTAGTTCCAAAAGACTTATCCATTTAGGAATAAATTCATTTTGTGATATTATCTCATTACTCTGTCTGATGTGATTCTTTTACCCTGTATGGCAGTTTTGTAGCATTCTCAGTCGTGAATTATCAACCTCACTTAGTGACAGCACCTCCGGTCCGAAGGGTGCTGATCACGAGGAGCAAAGTACCGACGATCTGGTTGAAGACATAGCCGGCGAGGAAGATGAGGCCGAGGCAGATGCTACCGAGGCAGCAGCAGCTGCGGCAGTAGCCTCGGGGGAATCGGGTAACACGGTGGATAGTGGAGGGGCAAAATCACTCAATCGGCATCGACCTTATCTATCCCGTATTCGCAGCAGCGCCAGTGGTCTACGACAGCAACAAACACATTCCAACTGTTCATCGCAAATCTCCGATTACATTTATCAAACATTCGTGGAGGAAGACGAGGACGAGGAGTTGGAATTGGGCAAACTCAATGATGAGGAAGGAGATCGACTTGAAAAGGCCAATAGTGAAATCCAGTCTAACGGATTGAATGGATCGATCCATGATTCGTTGGAAGTGTCCGATTTGGAATCCCATGAACCATTGGGGCAAAGTTCCGGTCTATCGGAGCAGAACTCATCGGAGGACAGCTCACAGCGTCTGTTTCATCAATTGACCTCATTATGGAAAAAAGAATCGCGGTTCAATGCAGATGCTGTTGCACAAGTACGTTTATATTATAAACTATAAAGCAACTTCTGGGCAACACTTATATTTTCCATTATGAATTTCGATCAATTTGAACGTTTTAGCCCCTTCATGTCAAAGTGTAAATCAACCCTACTAACGCCAGATTATCCAATCATTCGGCATCGGCAGTCTGTTAATATCAACTTACTTTGACGGTCCTACTTTAAGCACTTACTCGCCAATTATACCACACACGCTCCATTTCGAGATATTATGTATTTGATTATTCTATACCCTCGTATGGTTGTTAACCGACTAAAATATCGATCCATTTCATTGCCATAGAGGTCATCTCCAGTCTGACGGTGGTGATCACACAGTTGCAATTAACATCAGTGGCATAATCTGGGTCCTAATGTTCGCGGTTTGAAGCATCCACAGTCATCCCATTTTGGGGACAGTTCGCTTTGCTGTCGTTAAGTCCATTATCACGCTCAGCACATTTGGGGCCCAATGTGGTTGGCTTCTCTATTAGTCTGAACTTAGGTTGCCATTGTGGAAAGTTTTGTGTTGAAATATTCGACAGCTTTGGTCGGGAAGGAAGACCTAACGAACTCTTAGATTTGCCGGGATCGAAATAACCATCAGTTGGTCCAATGGAAGCCGAAAGGTAGATAAACTTTTGCTTTCGATACGTTCGTTTTCTAAGCATCTGGTGATGAAATTTGTCGTGTTAAGAGGCAGCAAAGTATGAAATTACACGGTTTAAAAAGCTGCATAGTGATTTTTACCTTGTTGGGTTTCTTCAGTAACTGAGCAAATTCACCGATCTCAGCAAATGTCGAACCGTCGAGGTATACCTACACGAGCACTTGATTGCCGGGTAATTGATCAAAATGTATCCCTTCATGTGGAGGAAATTCGGAAAGGGGAGAAGGATTTGGGCTGCTTAGTTCATTATTGACTGAAACCTTGTATATATAACTCGCTAAAGCTTGAATACAAAACAATTCATCTATGATGCTGCTATAATGCAAGCCATTTTCAGCTAAAGATATTATAGTTCTGGGACCTATTTGCGTTTTGGTTATAGGTTTGACTTTAGCAAGCAAATGTTGGCTATTTCCACTGCTCCGATAATGCTAAATTTTGAGTGATGAGAAGTATAGACAACAATTGTACTCGCTCCAACTGTCCCTTATTCAGGGTCCATTTTCTACCTGCTGGGCCCATCCATTATCAACCCTTTTATTGCAGGTATAGTGATAGTTCTATAACTTCAACAACAAGCCAGTCGTCGTGGGTTCCGCAGGCCAACCGCCTCAGCTATTTCACATTCAATGTACGGATCGAGTTACTCTGAACACAGGTTTTTACAATTTCGCAGTCAGCGGTGGCGTATTTGACGGGTTATCGCATCAATCTTGATACTTCTAAATCCCGAGCACCAACAGCATTTGTTGCGGAGAAAAATTCGTTACGCAAAAGATGATCGATTCGCGAGCAAATGCAAAGTGGTAACATAACATTCCAAACAAATGTGACCAGGGTTTGGGGACTTGGAGAATAAGTGAACGAATGTAACCTTAAGAATAACTCTTTCTGTCTCTCTGTATTGTGCTTAAACATTAGTTATTCGTGCCGAAAAATCAATCACTAGTTGCGAGTGTGGAATCACGAAAACGGAATTACGTGAGATAGCAAACAACCTCTAAGAGACTGTAGGAACTGACATGAAGGTGTGACTGAGCACGATGATTATTGATGTTTCCCACAACATAAGGCTATCAGCATCGACAAGCCATTTTGACCGTTAGTTTTCGGGTAGTCTCATGTTTTGGTACAGGTACAGAAGACTTAAGACCGCATCCCTCATTTACCGATCCAATCGGCAGAGAGAGATGTATAAGCATAAGCTTTTACCAAATTTCTAATTTAAAACTAATTTTGGAACGGAACATCTCGTGGTCTTATACCCACCATACACTCAGTTAGCCAACCAGCCAGCCAGCCAGCCAGTCAATCAGCCAGTCAATCAGTCGGTTATTCAGTCAGTCAGTCAGCTGCAGTCAGTCAGTCAGTCAGTCAGTCAGTCAGTCAGCTGCAGTCAGTCAGTCAGTCAGTCAGTCAGTCAGCTGCAGTCAGTCAGTCAGTCAGTCAGTCGTTTACTTCATTCATCACTCTACGTCTTGAGACTGTCTCTCCTGCATGACTGAAATCCTGAATAAAAATTGATCGAACTAGTTTCACTCTCAAATCGTTTAGTCGAATGGAACGGTCCCACTCATCAAGTGACGCGATCTGTTAGGTTGACCGTACATTTGTTTGAATTGTAATCATAAAACACTTGTGATTGGACGTTTATACAAAGCCAGTAAATCACTTTGAAAGATGAGGAATCGTTCGAAATCTGATTGTCATTTTCAGAGGGGGGGATACTGAGGACAGCATTGATAAATTATGCATAACCTCGTAGATAGATAGTTGGACAGTATCCCTAGAAATACGTAATAGATGTCAAGAGAGAGATGTAAAATGAACTATGAGGATCATAAGATAGCATCGGACAGGTATCAAGCAAAATACTTTGACTAACAGGATTCGTATGATGACGGAACAACTCAAATTACATATCTACACACGATCGAGATCAGTTTATCCCTGTGGATCCTGAACCAAGGATAGCTAGGGGGTAACTGAAAGGTGAACGCATACGCACAGCAATATCGCACTGAATTTAGCATAAAATTTGGAGTTGTATGGTAGGTTTCTGACAAGAAAAATTTACTTCTTGATCGACAAGGTTTAACTATTTTTATTATTCTTTGCAAACAAATCACCAATGAATCATGTGTATGCGTTTTATCACATAATGACACCACTAAACTTTGTCTTAATTTAAACCTTGTATCACATAGATGACATTAGATAAGATTTATTTTCGGCAATACAGATGTATTGAACTAACTCCATATTAATTTTGAAAGAAAACAACCTTCCAAACTGCTTCGTTTCAATTGAATACAATAAAAAATTAATCACACCAATATATCAATAAAATCGATCCTTTATTCCCTTTTCATTTGCACAATTGCCTTGATTTGAGTCCGTGATGAGTAGTCACAATACAACAATAATACGCTTCAGACGGGCGTGTTCTCATCCTGCCACTGTCAACTAACTTTCATTGTACCCAATAACAGCCCTTTGATTGGCTATTTTGTGCTTTCTGAAAATCGATTGAGGAACGAAGTGGTCTCAAACACTCCCGATAGAAGCAACACCCGAAACTACCCCAGATTGATTGATACTCACAGCAGATCGAATCTCATCAATACACCAAACAAATAAACAAGCGTATAGGGGCGATATTGATTTCATTACAATCTGAGGTAACTGATGATTTTTTTAATGCGTTGGAGCCAGCAGAAACCGGATTTCCCTAGACATGATCAAATGGTTGCTAGTTTAGTCTGATTTTATTAGTCTTGTCCGGTTTTACAGTGAAACTGATTCAACAAGTTATACCCATTCGTATGTTTTTTGCTCCTTTATCTCTGACCCTATTCTGTGCAGTTTATCAAAGACAATCAAGATTCTGACTCTCCAGACTTCTTCCAGTTCAGCCAGCTAACCAATCAACACTGTCTCAGTACTTTTGGACTCTACCTACTCCAGGTAAATTCACCTGTTGTTTTGCCTGTCAGTTTGAGTGAATTTGTCCAGTTTTCCGGGGCTGGGTGGTGTGGGGGGTATATATTTCATAGAATTATTTTAAGACCAGTAAAGATTACTTACCTGCTGGACAACTACTCTGCCCCGGTTGGAAGTAGTGACCAGTGCGTATAGCATTCCTTTCCCTTCGGACTGGGAATCGAATCCGGTTCTCAGTGGGTCCATGTCATTTTAGTCACCCATACGTGTTGTACAAAACAATTTGATCCGTTTTTGTGTGCTCCGTATTCCCCTTGCCCATCAGGATTTACCGACTCATTGTAGCTCTTACAGAATTCCCAAGATTCTTCGTTTTTTGCTCATGAATAAATAAAATTCACATATAAGACAAATGCTACAATTCGTAAAAGGTTATTGATTCCCAGAACGTCCGTTACCCCGATATCTGTTCTGCAAGAGGAACAATCTTAGTCGGTTTATTGTAAACTTGGCGCAAAGTGTAACTGATCCATACAGTTTCAGTCGAAGTAGGAGAAAACACTTGGACCGAGTGCTGCTCGTGAGAGCGTACCACATTCAGGTGCATTTCACTCCCCCGTGCAAGCACAAATATAAGTGCGCCAACATATCCACACACACACAACAATTAGAGTCTATTGATAGAGGTGTCCAGTGTATGGAATTTATGTGTCACAAATTTCATTAGTATAAAATAAAACTATGTTGATCATCTGCCCAAAGATCAAGGAACTCTGAACATTTAAATCATAAACATTAATTTACAATTGTTTTAAACTGTATCAAACAGTTTAATCCTCAGCTCACTCACTCCCAAACCTTTAGGTTCATGCTTCGTTGTTGTTGGCGCTCATCAGTAGCGCTCATCAGTAGCGCTCATCTATCGGCTTATTTGGTATCAGAACTGTGCAACTCTTCCACGAAGATGGGTGCTGTACCAAACAGCGCACACTGGAGCTGCCAAGAACAACCGATTCCAATCTGTTCAGATGACTAACTCGAGGTCATTCTGTATCAGGTTCGTTCAGTCCAACTGCAATGACACGAGACTCAGGGGCTAACTGTTTTCTTGCAATCGAAAGCCTCCCAAGAAATTAACTATTCCATGCAGGTGGTATTTCAGTAATCGTGCCCAAATAAATGTCCCAAATTATTTTCAATATCTTCCGCTCTGTGGAGTCTATACCTTCTGCAATTCAAGTTGTCCCGATAGCATTTCAAGATGTTTGCGTGTCAATTCAAGCAGTCTCGTTGACCTCACCGGCGCTGACAACTTTACCAGCGATATCCGGATTACCACCATGTAGTACAGATTTCTCCACCTCCCGCTGAAGCGCGGGGACGATTGTGAGACGTGCCTTGGTCACAAACGCTTCAATTTCCATGATATACATATTGGTTATTTATCTTGCAAGTACGTGTACGCGTACGTGTTTGTGTGTGTGTGTGTTGTGTGTGCTTGTCCCCCTCCGCTGATACCGGTGGATCATGCACGATCAACGCTTGACCCATTGCTTACCTCTGTAGCATGATGCTGCAATGGAATTCATAAGCTGTACCTGTAAGCGGTCGCACCTGGGACAACAATCGATCATGCTCGATCGACATACTCATCAGTGTTGACAAGATTCACATCCAGTTTGTTCCAGACCTTCAGGTAATATTACCTCTTTGCGAAACCACCACAGAACAAGCACCTTCAAGTATTGAACAATCCAAATTATCATTTCGGCTATATATCTGGAATGGAATGATATATCTCTATCAAAGCAACCGCAATAGAAATAACGTAACCAGGTTTGACGAAATATGCCATAAATTTTACAACAGTTACGGAATTTTATTTTTTTAAAATACAAGTTCGTAAATTGAAACGCATTCAGAAGTGCACTTTTCAGCTTTGTCGGTGAGATCATATAGCCTCAACACTTCCACTATACAAAGTAAACCGGGTGAATTAAGGTTAGCATGTGACATTCACAAGCAGTAAATGTAAGTTGGCTTCGAACAATCGTATCGTCATTGTCCCATTTCTCGATTCAAGTTCACGATTTGAACACCACCATGGTCGTTCTTAGAATAGTGATTACCGAAGCCACCATCAACAAGAAACAGTGAAAGTGTTTGATAACTGAGTAAGTATTAAGAGATCAGAACAACTTTCGGTTACAAAACTGAACCACAACACAGTATTTCACAGCTCTTGTAGTTAATCCAGGGGAAACAATGGAGACACAATATCAACTGATGTAAATCTTGCATTCGTAAGCAAAGGAGGAAACAATCTATGCCCCTAACACAATATTATCCAGACTCGCAGATCTGAAAACGTAGAAGAGTTTCTCCAGCGCAATTTTATGAAGTAGGTCCATCCGCGTACTACAGGATAACTCGAAGATGAGATCAAATTTGAGTAGAAGCAAAGGATTTAAACTCAGCCGAGTTGTGTCCGATAAAAGGTTAAAATCTTTCTGATCGTTTCTCCATCCTTGTTAGTAACATTGTGGCACCGGAGTGGGGATGGGGGTGTTGTTCCTTTCCCCTCCCGCTCCCCTCGCCACACACACTGCCGGCACGGCCAACCGATTCTTTCCTTACTTTGGAGTGCAGATTAAGTGGTCGGATCCGTTTAACTCTGGGTGGATAGGCCGAAATATGATATTGGTTAAAGCCATCTGAAATCCACCACCTACTCCATCCCCCTCTAACCATGCATTAGTGATCATTTTATACGGTTTCCCCTACCTACCCAGCGTTATCGCAGTGCTTTGTGATCCGGTTTCCTAGAAAAGTGTACACACAGGAACACACCAGATTACACAATCTGTACAACATAAATTTTGAACCGAGAACAGATAACGGTTCACTCCATAACCACCCCTTC